TTATTGAAGAAAACTTTTGTTGGGGACCGCCAAGATTGTGCGATTTAACACAGCTGGACTATTTTGATTAAGGTTATCTGAAGTGGCTTTGGAAGAGTATACTAGGTGGGGTATTGCTGATATATATCACCTTGATTGCTGCAAAAATTGGTTGAAAACTAGGTTTCTCGACTGGAATTCAAACGCAAAGGTAAATCTTTATTTTTATAAAAGAAAAGCAGTATTCTTTGCCGACGATTTTAATTCATATTGAAAACTACATGTTTAAAAAAAACACCCTTTTTAGTTATAGTTTTGGTGAGAAATTTTACTTAAAATTGTTTTGGAGGGAAAATCGAATTTTTTTTTCGAAATCGGTTAACAAAAAATATTTAAAGAATTTTCAAAATAAAAAAAAAAGTTAAAATTTTCAAAAGTATTATTTCGGCTCATTACTGTTAAATCTTTGGCTTTTGTAGTCTTCTATTCTCTCTCTGATTTTAACTTTAATACAAAGCCTTGTTTTTGTTTTTTTGGTTTTTTTTTTTGGTTTGTAATAAAAGCATAATTTGTTCACACTTTTACTCTGACTTGTCATTGTTAGTTTCCCATTATTTTTTTGTTTTATTTTGGTTTTTCCTTTCTTTTTATATTGACGCACATTACGGTATTTCATTGTTTTCAACGCAATTGTGGAATTCACCAACACTAAGCACACATTCCATTCCGCTTTTACTACAGCAATGCCTGTACATTTTTCATTTCCATTTAGCAAGGCATCTAAAGAAAGCCACACCATTGTTTATTTCACTTGTTGGCAGTTTATGGTGCCGCCTGCCGTCGTTGCTACGTGAAACGTGCTACCCAGTATTTTAAATTCATGCTACCACTCTATTAAATTCCAACATTTTCATTTCAACTCTTTTTATTCTCTTTTCGTCATACTCACTAAGCCATAATTTTGTTATGTCTTTTCTTTGTTTGTTTCTTTGTCTGTCGGTTTGTCACAGATAAATGTGGAGAGTATGTGCTAATGATAATTTTATAACCTGGCATGTTAATACTGGTTTTTGTGTGAGTATTTGTATGCATTTATGTGTGTGTGTTGGTTACATATTGCAAGACATTGTTTGTATGTAGAAAATATGAGTTTTTACTCGCCGTGTTTTGTCACTTTATATCGTAATAAAGAGTTGAGCGTAATTTGAGGGGTCCACATTATACAGGGTGTGCCTTTTTTTACTGATTATTTAATGGTTATATTTTACGTAACACAAAAAGGTATTATGATATTCCATTGTTCCACTATTACACAAAATATATTATTGATATTTAAAATGACTGTCATTTACAGTGTATTTGCGTTAGAATGTGTTCACATATGGCCAAATAAATGAGACAATTAAGTTTTCTGTAGTGTTCACACATATTCAATTAAGTTGAAATAATCGGTGTTTGATTACTAATATTTCTCTTGACTTCCCCTTTATTCTATTTCCAAAATTATTTGTCAACTAAAAATCACACTCACTACATTTAAGTGAAAAAATAACACTTAATTTTCCTAGAAGGAAGCCCAATAACTCTTGGCGGATAGCACCGCTGCAGCAATCAAAAGCAACCCATGATTACTCTCCTCTATGCTTTTTCTTCCAGCATAGTATCTCACATTATATTTCCATAATGAAGTTCTTTGTCATATAATGTACTATTTTGATTAATCATATTACACAGGGTTGCATAAGAAATTCTATGACAATTCGCTGCCAACTAATTACTAATTGTCAACCAATGGCTTGAGTTTTTTAATAAGGCAAATTTTTTTAAACTAAATTTTTCAATTCATAACCACTCTCAATTAACTGATTTAATGTCTGTGTGAATACTTATTACAGACTCCTGTTTTTAAAAAATTAAATACAGAATTTTACCTAAAATATTCCGTAATTAACTGAGAGACTTATTACAAAAATCAATATAAAATAATTACTAATTGTCTAGTAATTTACTTGATGTTCATAAAGTACAATATTTCCACAATTAAATATTAAATATTAAATATTTAATTGCTGTGCTGTTATCATGAAATAAACAATTGAAGTTAGCTAAATAATCGTCTTTGAGCGTATTAATTATTTACTAATTGCTCACTAATTGATCAAGTCTTTATAGGGTTCATTTAATGGAATTAAACACTTAATTGCTTAAACTCACTCAATTAGCTAATTGAATGTCTGTGTGAACAGCATCTAAAAAAACAATCTTCTAAATTTCGCCATCAAGTAATGAACAACAAAATTAAGCTAAACAATCCTTAGACATTAAATATTATTTTTATTTCTAGAAATAACTACACTCTTTGCAGGCTTGTATGGACACTTTTACGATAATTTGAAGCCAATTAATTAATGATTGACCGCTAATAGCTACAGTTGCTATAAGGCTAACTTTATACCAAATAAAGTTTTAATAACTTAAATTCACAAAATTAGCAAATTGCATGCCTCTGTGAACAGTATCTAGGAACCGAATTTTTGTCGTTCAGAAATGAATAACAGAATTTTGATTAAACAATCTGCAATCCCTAACTGATTCCTATATAATATTACACGAGTCTTTTTGCGGCAATTCGAAGACAAAACATTGCATTTGTATAAGGCTTATTTTGTTGCAAATAATTTCTTAGTTATTTAAGTCATAGCGATTAGCTAATTGAATATCTGTGTGAACACTATTTGAGTATACAATTTACGGCAAACCAGAATTTAATCAATAAAAAATCAGCATTTCTCTATATTATATAATTTATCTAGATTCATATACCTTTTTAAGATATGATCAAGTCAACGAGAACTTGGAAAGCAAGCTACAACTGATTGCCCGAGTATGAGACTTAATTTAATGCAGTTTGACACTTAATTGTCTCTTAATTAATTAATTGAATGCCAGTGTGAACAGCTTTCTAGAACTCAAATGTTCACGTAATTTCGAAATTAACCAACGTATGCCACTTTGAAATGTTTCAAATTCGCACAAATCAAATCACCCTTTATACATGACGACATATACTCCAACATTTAAAACTCGTATATTTTTTATTGACAGCAACTTTCATTGCTTGTCGCACATAATGAAGCTATTTGTTGGACAAAGTGGTTTATATGTATGTACATATATGAATGTAAGCGTCAAAAGTTATTGCAAATAAAAAATAAATAATTTCCTGAGAGGGTTATCATTCGCTTGAAGCATATAAAATGAAATAACAAAGTGTTGGCGAGAATAATCACATTGTACTTAGAGCTATAAGAGAGGGTATGCAGAAAATAAAATAAATATATATATTTCTAAGAAAGTACAATAATTTTAATTTTAAAATTGGTTAAGAATTCTTATTTTCCACTTGCCGAGCAAACAATTCAGTGGCGCGCCTGAAAAATAAATGAAAGATTTAGCAGATCAGTGACCAGCGATATTCCCAACGTTCTACCTTCGGATTACTTTTTAGTTTATCAGGATTTTTTTTGCATTTTTTCAGAGCGGTTTTTATAAAACTAAATTTTCAGACTAAGCATTTAAAGAAAGCCATTTTAGAAACGAAAGTCTGTATAAATTACATCAGAGTGAAATTTTCGAAGGAATCGAAAACATAAGTAAACCCAACTCTTCAGCTCAGACAAGTATATTTTTTAAGCCTCCCACGAACAAAGGAAGCCTATCCAGGTAGACCGGAGGGTTAAGGTGTTTTCAAACTCAATGACTAATATTCTGTCTTCCATATAAAGTTTCTGAGCATTACTGAAGGTGCAACTACTATAAGGTTCTTGCAGATAGCAAAGAAACGGATAAGAGAACTAAAGGTGGCAGCAAAAAGTACAAAAGTTATCACAGCGAGAAGAGCATTAACATATTAACACGGAAAGTAGAGAATAGTAAAAGACAGAGGTTGTAGTTCTCTGTCTTTTGCTATTGGGTTGCCCAAAAAGTAATTGCGGATTTTTCGTATAGTCGGCGTTGACAAATTTTTTCAACGGCTTGTGACTCTGTAATTGCATTCTTTCTTCTGTCAGTTATCAGCTGTTACTTTTAGCTNGGTCAACGATACAATCAATTTATTGAGAGAAACTTTTGGTGAGCGCCTTATCTTATGTCGCGAGTTTGTGCCGTGTCAACCAAGATCTTACAATTTAACATATTCGGCGCATTATTGCTGACATTTGACCTCAATTGGCCGAATACTGGCAACTCGGCAGGAATTTAATCGAACCAACCGCGGCGATCACATGCTCTAAATCATTTTAAAAAATAATGACAAACCTTAATCTTTATAATAAAGCCGAATTCTTAGCCAAAACATTGAATTATATGCGTTTATTACTTCTATAAATTACATGTCTAAAAAAACACCCTTTATATTATATTTTTTTCTCTAAAATATCTAAAAAAAAACATGCAAATTTTTTTTAGTATAAAAATAAACAATAACTGTAATAATAATTATTAAATAATAAAAAATAATTTTTTAAACATGCAAAATGTATTTTAAAAATTTAAATTTGCTATTATTATTTGATGTGAAAGCTGAGTGTTAAAATATATTTTATGTTCTCTCTTTATTTTTATTTTTAAATAATTTAATTACAGAATTGATTTTCTTTTAAAAATTTGTAAAATATTTACATTTATATCGTTGTTGTTTTTTCATAAAACTTATTAAAACCAGATTTTTAAACAAACCAAATTTTGCAAAAAAAAAAAAAACCTAAACAAATTGTTCTTACGCTGAAACCAAACTTTTACTGCAGCTTAAGCAATTAATTAAGATATTACGTAACAACTTCTAAGATAAAGAACATCATCAAACTGAACAACAGTTAAACAACATAAAATTAACAAAGAACTTGAAACCAACAACAACAGCAATAGCAACAACAACAACAACAACAACAACACAATGAACAACGTTGCTGTACACAATGACGTACTGGGCGACAACGACGTTAGACTTTAACGGTACTTACTTCAATACCTTCCTGTTTGTGATTTGCCAAGTATATTACATACATAAATACAGTGCAATAGCAGTTGTTGTTGTTGGCATACAAATTGTTGTGCAAGATGTGGCATGTACGAGTTGAGTTGTTGTTGTTTATTATACAGCAGTATATACGGGTATTTAGTAGATTTTTTTTTTAATCATTTTAATTTTAATTATTTATTATTATGCATTAATCATACACAAGCCAGCGCAGTTATGTTGTTGTAGTAGATTTTGTTGTTGTATTTGTTGCACACAGTGTTGGCATACAGTTAATTTTTTGTTTTTTTTTCACAAGTGTGTGTGTGTGTGTTTTAATTGGTTAAGTATTTATTTATTTCAAATTTAGTTAAATATTTTTTTTTACGATTTTTTTTTTAAATATTTTTAATTAATTTTATAATTAGTTTTAGTTGTTAGTTTGAGGATAATAGCATTTGTTGCGTGCAATTTGTGGTTTTTAAAATGGGAAATTTTCAGTTTCAAAGCAAATTTAATTTTTGGCATTTATTTAAGTGTTATTTAAATACGCATATTTGTAACGGTAAAGGTAGTAGTGTGTGGTTTTTATTCGAATATTTTGAATTTATTTTTTTTTAAATTTTTTATTTGTTATTCAGCATTACAATAGGGGAGTGACGTTAGACATACACATTTCGGTTGGGAAAGTTGGTATGAGTGGGAAGATAAATAGAGAGAGAGAGAGAGAGAGAGAGGGAGAGAGAAGTAGATAATAGTACAGTTAGAGTCTGCTAAGTTTGCTAGGTTTGTATAAATGTCTAAAGTTGTATCTAGATATAAATGTAGCTATGTGTGTGTGTAGCTTATCAAGCATTTAAAATACTCACTAATTTTTGTTTTATTATAATTAAAACTTATTTATTAAAAGAAAACTTAAAATGCGGCATAATATTTTAATTGCTGAAATTTAAATATATTTGTAATATTTTTTTAATTAATTTATTAGTATCATATAAAAAATATTTATTTATTATTAATTTTATATTAAATATATTTTCATTATAAATTTTTTTTAGTTTTTATTTATTATTATTATATAATATTTTTATTTTAATTTACTTTAATTATCATGAAAACTCGTATGAATTTGGTAATTCTGCTTTTAAGTTTTCCATTAATAAATAAATAAATACATAATTTTAAAAATATCTATAAAAATAATAAATTGTGCTTTGTTTTGCTCTATGAATGCTATTAACACGAAGTGCGCACTAAATTCTAAATTCATAGCCTTGCAATCGCAATTAAATAAAAATTATATATGTATATATATAAATAATTTATTAGATGTTTCTGGTGTAAAAAAAAATATTTTTGAGTAAAAAAATTGCTCATGAATAAATCTTGCAGGAAAAGTGAGAATTAAAAGTGGAATGCTGGCAGTTCAAAAAAAAAAAAAAACAGGCATAGCATTGAAATGTTCAAAAATCATGACAAAAAAATAAAAAGAGAAATATTTAAAATTATTTCTAAAAAAATAAAAAATAAAATATAAATAATCTGTAAAAAAATAAATAATAAATACTTTTAATGACAATTAACTATGAAAAATATATCAGGTGTACAACTTTGCCTCCGCCGTTTTCCGATTGGTGGCTGTACCGGCTGAGGCTGGTTGAAATACATAGATGATAATGACTATTTCATTGTGTGTAAGAATTGAAGCTGAATGACCATCAGGCGCGTTGCACATTCGGTGAATTTCGATTTTCACAAGAAAATTTCGATTTTTACAAGAAAATTTCGATTTTCACAAGAAAATTATGTACAGCGATGAGGTCATTGTTGGGACATCCTCGAAAGGTCTCTGTTTGGTATGATCTATGGCATTATGAGCAGAGGTCCATATTTCTTCAAAAATGAAGTTGGCTTTAATATTCAGTCAATGGAAAACACTATAGAGTCACGGCTTATGACTTTTTCGTGCCTTAATTTATCGCATGTTGATGCGGATGACTTTTGTTGCCAACAAAATGGCCTTACATGCCATACGGTCAACGATACAATCAATTTATTGAGAGAAACTTTTGGTGAGCGCCTTATCTTATGTCGCGAGTTTGTGCCGTGTCAACCAAGATCTTACAATTTAACATATTCGGCGCATTATTGCTGACATTTGACCTCAATTGGCCGAATACTGGCAACTCGGCAGGAATTTAATCGAACCAACCGCGGCGATCACATGCTCTAAATCATTTTAAAAAATAATGACAAACCTTAATCTTTATAATAAAGCCGAATTCTTAGCCAAAACATTGAATTATATGCGTTTATTACTTCTATAAATTACATGTCTAAAAAAACACCCTTTATATTATATTTTTTTCTCTAAAATATCTAAAAAAAAACATGCAAATTTTTTTTAGTATAAAAATAAACAATAACTGTAATAATAATTATTAAATAATAAAAAATAATTTTTTAAACATGCAAAATGTATTTTAAAAATTTAAATTTGCTATTATTATTTGATGTGAAAGCTGAGTGTTAAAATATATTTTATGTTCTCTCTTTATTTTTATTTTTAAATAATTTAATTACAGAATTGATTTTCTTTTAAAAATTTGTAAAATATTTACATTTATATCGTTGTTGTTTTTTCATAAAACTTATTAAAACCAGATTTTTAAACAAACCAAATTTTGCAAAAAAAAAAAAAACCTAAACAAATTGTTCTTACGCTGAAACCAAACTTTTACTGCAGCTTAAGCAATTAATTAAGATATTACGTAACAACTTCTAAGATAAAGAACATCATCAAACTGAACAACAGTTAAACAACATAAAATTAACAAAGAACTTGAAACCAACAACAACAGCAATAGCAACAACAACAACAACAACAACAACACAATGAACAACGTTGCTGTACACAATGACGTACTGGGCGACAACGACGTTNGATAGCGTCAAAAGAGGACTCCTTTTTTCGAGCCGGGATCCGAAAATTTCCGGAAAGATGGGAGAAAGTTGTCGCTAGCGAAGGACAATACTTTGAATAATATATCTGTAAGCACTTTTTCGCAATTAAGCTTTAAATTTCGAAAAAACGGCGGAAGCAAAGTTGTACACCTGATAGTATAATAATAATTAATACAATTGTCTATTACACAATTTTAAACCGCATATTGAAAGATTTCTGAAAAAAAAAATTTCAAGCTATTATTTATAAATTTTAGTTAAAAAACAGAATTGCATAATCACATGACGACCTAGCAATATCAGTTTGAGCACAGCATTAAATTTCATCGTAATTCGTCTTGGAGTGCGCTACGAACTCATTAGAATTCTACCACAACACCGACTAACTCTGATACTCTGATGTAGCCTTATCGCCAAAAATTAAATGAAGTTCATCGATGCATTGTTGCTGAGTTAATCCAAGTGGAAAGTAGTAAAGAAATAATCTCGTGAAAATGTTCGCGAATTAATTCCATTTTTTGGTCGAAATAAATATTTTAAACTATTCTAAACAACACTCTAAATTCTCTGAGTATGTTTGACATCAAAGATGCGTCGCCAAATCCCGATATATAGTAGGCAACCCTCGTGTGAGTAGCTATCTGCGGCTAGGCCGCAGTTTTTATACCTTTCATGATCACATCAAATTTATGGCAATTCTACTTGGGAATAAAAATTAATTCTCATATCTGAAAATTTGGTTAGATAGGTCTATATGATGAAGTTTACTGATATCGATGTCGATTATCGATAAAAAAGTAAAATGTCATATTTTCTTAGTTGTGTTTTAGACGTAGTTTCAACCAAAGCTTCATGTCTGGAAAGATTGATTTATGGAAGCTATATGTATGTTCGAGAAATCATTTCAGCGGTTACAAAACGCTAATTATATATACGAGGTGTGACAATTAACTAATGAGACTGGTTCCATAGAAACCGTATATTTCAAAACTCTGCCATCTCCTTCAAAGTAGTTCCCTTGGGCAGCTATACAACGATTCCAGCGATGCTTCGTAACATTTCTGGAACGTTTCGACTGCAATGTTCGCGAGTATCCTCGTCACGGCTGCCTGGGTGACCTCAATCAACTCAAAATGGATTCATTTGACCACCGATTTCGTTCTAGGAAATAAAAAAAAGTCACAGGGTGACTAAACGGGCGAATAAAGCGGTTATTATAACACGGCGATCACTTCAGAGGCCAAATACTGGGACACGCCAATTGCGATGTGGCACGGCGCGTTGTCGTGATGATGGATTCAGCGATGCGAGTATATATATATATGTGTAATTTTACTTATCTCTTCCTACCTTATGTTTACTTTTAATTCATCTCATTATTATTACTATCATGCAATATCCAAGCACATCCGGTAATAAAAAATGGATACGTTGTTATATGCTCGCATGTATGTATATATAGGGTTATACATTTTGTGGTTTCAGAAGTACGGTGCGGTATTTTGATATTTTTATATATTTTTTATTAATTAAGAGTCAGGCGTTTATGAAAATATATGTATATATATTTTTTACAGTGTACTCAGGAGCTGAGATTTTCTTGTGTCATATTGAAGTTGGACTTACACCTGCATCCAGCGAGGCCAGCTTATACAGCAACCGAAGCCAGCTGTGGAGATGTCGATTGTGTACACGAACTATAAGCAGTGGACGGCGATTTTTCGAACAAAATTTTCTTCAAAGACGAGACACATTTCTCGCTCTGTGGATACGTAAATAAATAAAATTGTCACATTTGAAGTTCTGAGAATCTACAAATAATTGGAGAGAGCCCATTACACCAAACAAAACTTGGCCTCTGGTGCACTCTTTAGGCTGGAATTTTGATTGGATCTCACTTGAAAACAACAACGGTCACTGTCAGTTCCGAGCGTTATGATCGTATGAAAGCCGATTTTTTTTTGGCCTGCAATTGAAGAACACGCCTTGGAAAATATCATCGAAATGGTGTGATTTGACACTGTTGAACTTTTTTTGTGGGCTACGCGAAAG